TTAAATGGAAACAAAGATGACTTTCTCATCTATGACAGGTCTGTGTTTAGAGGGGAACACAGGAGAATATTTGCATGTATTTGGAGTAATGCGTTGTAAACCTCTATATTTAATTGATTTCCAAAACCCCTGATTACCTCACAACAAAGACATCATAATCAACTTCTAAATTGCATTAAGTAAAGCACTTACACTTTTACTGGAAAAAGGAAGCTACAAAAGAAAAGTCTGCTTTCACTTAAGTAACTTTGGGATAAAAAATGTTTTCTTTATAATCACTGGGTATTTAGATTAATATAACTGATTATATCCTGATTCTTCAGTTTTGATGTAATAGAAATTATTCAATAAGTCCTGCACTTCTAACATGTCCATCTTAATTACTGTTATGTTACTGTAACAAACATTCTCAGTTTATACTGAAGCATAATTAAGCCTAATAAAGAATTAGAATGTTACTTAACTTTTTTTTAGTAATGTGATGCAATTGCATGAATTAGCTAAATTAGGTTTGTGGATTGAAACTAGCACTGGAATGATCTTTAGAAAGTGATTGCATGTTACAGCAGCAAATACACCTAAGTATGGAAGGTTGCTGTCATATGACAGACGAGAACAAAGCTGTACGTAGTCTGTGGAAGGGCCCCAAAGCTGATGCCTGGCCCATGGCATTTGAAAGGTTGAACAGTTTTGTGCTGTCGACACGTAGGATACACCCACACCACGAATTGGTTTGTCACTAGTTTGGCCATGATCCATTATGGTTCTAGGAATGTATGTCTTTATTGTGCTGTTACTGGCAATGAAACCTTTGGCTGTGGCTGGTCCTAGGTGCGCACTGCAGACACGTAGGGAGCTGAGGCTAGAGGATTGTGTGTTGACATTGCAGGTGGGGTACTTCACAAGGGCCCCTTGTGTACAAGTTCTACATTTACTCCAGCTTCCTGGAATGTACCATTTGTGTAGTCAAGTGCATACCAGAACGCTCAAGTACAGATATGGGGCAAATAGGCACCATCAGAATCCTCTCATGCACACTAAATCAGTAATGCAGATGTATCGCAATGCACATTCCAGTCAAAATACATTATATTGCATAAAAGCATTCTTTGTTAGGATACAACATCCATGTGGCGATTTGTACTACTATGCAAACAGCTCTCCTCATTAGCAAGATGATAGATTTGCAGTGAGGGTACCTTTGCTAGTCTAAATACTACTAAACTAGAGGCTTCTGCCAGTAGAGTTATTACATCAGCCAGAAATCATGATTCACACTACTGACTGATGCAAACGTTTGTAAGGCAGGTACTGGTTTTGCCTGTAAACTCCCTAGACAGAAACACTTTCCTTGGGACTGTACAGTGTGGGTAGATGGACATGAATAAAGTATAATAAGAAGAGACGTTTAATTTTAGGTATATATTACATGTGTATGTAACCACAAAGTTCTTTCTCTCCTTAGATGCGGCCGTCTAGTGTATCATCTGGGTCTGCCCTATTCCTTCTTGTCTTTCCAATATGTAGAAGAATCTATTAAGATTGCATACTGTGAAAACAAGTGTGGAAACTGCTCTTACACGGTATTTTCTTGTTTCGTTATACATATATATGTATCTACTAGTGTCATGGTTTAACCTCAGCCAGCAGCTCAGCCACACACAGCAGCTCGCTCACTCCCCCCACCGGTGGGATGGAGGAGAGAATCCGAAGAGAATCGGAA